GTAGTTTTTTTACAATCAACCTTAGACCACATGATTGGCCAAATTATTGAGCTATAATAAGGCTAAGTGTTATATATAAATAATAACAACTCAAAGCCCGAGAAATATACAATAAATCACCAAACAATCGCCACTTAGCCAAACGATTAAGGCAATCGTTTGGCTAAGTGTTAATTACATATGAATGAATTAGATATGCCTGACCTGTTTGGTTATATCTAAATTAATAGTTCTGGAAGTAAAAATCAGACAGAGGTCTGAGTGCTGTAACTGGTAATGCATCTGCATGGTAAGCAAAAGTCGTGGGTTGGACTCCACTCCAGGACAATTCTTTTGTTCAGAAATTCTGAATTTAAATCATCATGAGATGATAGCTTAACCACCTACTTCTAGATCAATGGTTCTCAACAGGGTCAATACTGCCCACAGGTGGGCATTGAAGAGATCTAAGGGGGAATTTTTGGTCCAAGGTAAATTTATGGGGTGTTGAGAACAACTGTCAATTTGCAATACTCACAAGAATGCATTGAAAAGTTTGATTAAAGTTAATACTAAAAATCATTGTATGCATGTTTCAACAAATAGTTCTAAATGTCTTTTAAACAAAATCAGTTTGTATTAAAAGGAGGTATTGGTACATTATAAGTTTGTTCCTAATACCTTTCTGACTAGTACGTGAATGAGAGGTAGCATGCACAGTGCACCACACAGAGCACCACTGTGTGCATGCGTGTGTTTTCTGGCTTGATCAACAAAGCATATATTTACAAGTTTGCTCAAGTCACGAAAGATTAACACACATGCAGAATATTGAGTCTATGCATGTTTTGAAAGGTTCATTAAACATTACTGTAAATACATGAGGCTTTTTATCCATACTAGATTCGAAGTTCCTTCAGAGCAAGTGTGAACCTAAAATTTCTGTGCAGTATTTACAGATCACATTCAAAGGATAACTTATGTGGATCACTTATTAAAAATATATTTTTGTTGTAATTTCTATTTGCCACAAACGTAAGTACATACATATTTACTATAATTATTTGTTTATTATTCTTTTTACTGACCGACATTAGTAATATAATTTAAAACTATCTTATCTGTGCAGTATTTACAGATCACATTCAAAGGATAACTTATGTGGATCACTTATTAAAAATATATTTTTGTTGTAATTTCTATTTGCCACAAACGTAAGTACATACATATTTACTATAATTATTTGTTTATTATTCTTTTTACTGACTGACATTAGTAATATAATTTAAAACTATCTTATAAATTTTAATTTACATAATCTAAATAAATTTACATAAATTTAAAATTTATTTAATATGATAAAGATTGGTCCTGTGGTGGTCACAGCAGTTTTTTTATTGTTTATTTTTACAGATAGACACATGTCAGATTCAAATAAAAAATGTAGACAATATAATGTCGAATATTTGAAATATGGTTTTATTCAGGCACCCTTAAACAAGACATTACCAATGTGCCTGATTTGCCAGAGCGTTTTCTCAAATGAAGTCATGAAAATTTCATGATTAGAACAACATTTGACCAAAGTACATCCTGACAGAAAACATAAAAATTTATCTTACTTTCAAATGCTCAAAGAACAATATTTGAGATCACCAATTTTAGCTGGTATGTTTTCAGTGGCATCGAAACAAGATGATGGGTTACATGCCTCTTACAACATTTCCTTGCTTATTGTTAAATCGGGAAAACAGCACATTATTGGAGAAGAATTGATACTGTCTGCATACTATACCGCACAAGTCACAGTCTGTTATTAAGAAAATCACATTAAGCAATAATACAGTACACAGACGAATCGAAGAAATGTCCAAGGATGTGGAGAGTTCTCTAACTGATTTTTTGAAGGCTACCAAGTTTTCTTTACAGCTTGACAAATCTACTTTACCAAACAATGAGTCTTTACTTCTTTTGTACGTTTGCTTTGTAAAATATGAAAAAAATTTGTCACAAACTATTATTCACAAAACTATTAAAAACATATACTGAAGAAAAATCTATATTTGACGTATTGGAACACTATTTTAAAGAAAAAGTTATTCCTCTAGATAATATCATATCCATTGCTACCAATGGTGCTCTGGCAATGGTTGGACGATACCATGGGTTGATTTCATATTTGAAAAAAGTGGTACCAAATGTAGTTGCTGTGCATTGTGCAATTCACAGACAACATTTGATTGCAAAAAAATCTTAGTGATTGTCTTCATTCCTCACTACAGTATGTAATTACAGCAGTTACCAAGACCAGAAGCAATGCTCTCAATGATAGATTCTTTCAAAAACTTTGTGATGAAAACAATGAAGATTTCAATTGTTTACTATTGCATACAGAAATTTGTTGGTTATCAAAGGGTACCTGTCTAAAAAAGATTTTATGACCTCTGACTCAGTTATAACATTTTTTGAAAACAAAGATATTTTCAATAAATTCTCTCTTAGAATTTATTGAAATTTAAGAATGATCTAGCTTATTTAACTGATTTATATAATAAATTTCATGAAACAAACCTACAACTGCAAGATGATGATTTGAATTTGATCTTCGCAAAGGCAACTATTTCTGCATTCGTGTCAAACACTTGCCTTGTACAAACAAAATTTGGGTCAAAGACAATTCTATCAGTTTCTGAATCTTTCTTCTGTGGAAACAAATGATGACAACATTCTGGTATTTGCCAGAATTTGGAAGGATTTAAAGAAGATTTTACAAATAGATTCAGGATGTCCTTAACATGACTGTTCCAAACTGGATACTAGAACCTTTCTCAAACCTACAAACAGCAGAATTATCACTGCAGGAGGAGTTGAAAAAATTGTCAAATTGTACATTATATTCAGCTTTATGGGCTGCATCAAAGAAGTTTTTCATTATATTCCCATCACATTTAGCTGAAAGAGGATTTAGTGTAGTCAGCAATTTACTAACAAAGAAAAGAAACAGATTGTTAATAGTGGAATGTAGAGATCTAAGATTGCTGATGTTAAATATGGCACCAAATATTAAAAAATTAGTATCATCACACCAAACTCAGCCCTCACTATTATTATAACAACTTTTTAATAATATATGTTTGTTAATCAAACTTTGAGCAATACACCAATATTGTTAATATCTTTTAGTAAAGTAATTTTAAACATTTGTTCTTGTTTTTTTTGAATATATAATATACCTCACCTAAGAAGGGCACCATCAAATCACTGTTTGAAAAAGTGGGCTATGACCAAAAATGTCAGAAAATTATGAATTACATTGACTCCTGTTCTTGAAATTGATAATGTGTTTTTTTTTTCAAAAAGGGGGCAGTAGGCAAAGAAAGGTTGGGAACATGTTTTCTAGATAGATTACTTTGCATCTAATTATTAATTTAACCTTATTATAGCCTGATAATTCAGCCAATCATCTGACTTTAATCAAAAACCAGGTTTGTAAAAGTTTTTGTTCATATACATAATCTCAGACAATACATGAAGACAGTGGCCAGATACAACTGGAATATTGACTTTAGAACACGATACAACATGCATTAACAGTGATAGCTTATAAATTTATTACCATAGCTGTGACAGTATGCTCTCTATCATCCTTAAGAATTAAGAGAATAATTACATGATTTTATGTTAATCTTTGTGTTGATCTATTGTAATTATTTTGAACACGTAATTTGACACATGAAAACATTCCTTTTAAGTTACATCACTCCATTGATGAAATGTTCTTGTTGATGGAATGCACTTTAAGAACATTTTTTATTTTATAAATTTTGTTGAGTTCAATGGAACAGCTGTATTACTTGACAAAGGCTTCTAACTAAGGCCAAAACCACTTGTGTGTTTATTAAATTGCATAATGGAGTAAGCATTGAGATTTTATTTTGAGGTATTTCTGAAAGTTGTTCTAAACAATGACAAGAAATTATCTAACAAGAACTCTGTGCTTAATTCTTGAATTAATCATTAAGTCATGAAGTATTTTGCAAAATTATTTAACTTTCTGACAAGTGAAGACCTTTTTACATCAGATATGCATGTTTAAGATCAGTTAAAATTTATTGATTAAAGTCTCAGTTAAAAAAAAAAGCAGAATTGTATTATATAATGAATATCCTTAGTGAATGATATCCCAAATATCTCTCTCTCAGGTTATATCTTGTTCTCTGAAATCAAATACTTACTGAAAGGAAGGATATTTCAAAATATATGAAACGTAGTAAACGTATGAAGATTGGTAGAGCTATAAATAAAAACCTGCTCTCAAGAATCCTATTAGTAGTTATAAAAGTAACTTTAAAAAAACTCACTGTACAAAGTTAAGCTTTTTATTCTATAAATATGGTTTCCTTAAAATGAGTCCTTAAATGTGATAACCATTTATAGATTTAGTTTGGTTAAGTTTTATATTAGATGTTTTAAATTTATTACTATTAAAAAATTCTTAAGTTTTACATTTAATAATACATTACAGTAGAGCCTCGATTATCCGACCTCCGATTAACCGCCACCTCGGTTAACCGACCGTCCTAGTCGGCAAATTTCAAATGTCTGCTAGTGATGTGGCGCTACAATATTTGGCTACGTCTGGCTACTTTATTATTATTTTTACGTGTTTTAGCTGGCAACACTCATTCGACCATGAAAGGGAGCCAGTATTTAAACGAGGCTTAATTTTCTCATTTTTAACGATACAATAGCGACGATTATTATTTTAAAAAATTTTTGTTAGGCTTAACATCGATGAAAATTCAACGCGAAGTACGCTAATAGCGATATAATAATATACTAATATACTAATTACATGGGATATAATAATATACTACACTAATAATGGATTTTTTCATACTTTTCGGTTATCCGACTTTTCAATTATTTGACCAACCCCAGTCCCCAATTGGGTCGGATAATCGAGGCTCTACTGTATTTTTAGTTATTTAAACTGACAAATTACATTTTATAACATTTACCTGCAGTTTCTCTGTTTACCATTATTATTCTCTTACTTCTTCGACCACGAATAACAAAATAATCGGGTTGGGAATTAAACATTGTTGCTATGCTCGGAAAACCATACTGGGCAGGACGACACGGAACTCCAAAGCGTTTCAGAAATAGTGACTCAAAATTTTGTAGCGGCAACTGACCACCATTCTCATGAAGCAAAATAAGGATATCACGAAACAGCATGAGAAGAGGTATCAATTTAACAACACCTTCTTCCACCTACAATAAAGAGTTATATAAATTTCTAAATTTTAAATTAACAATAATTTCAACATATATCTTTCATCAATTATTCAATTATATCTTTCATCAATTGTTAGTTATGAAAAATATAAGAACCTTGAATAAGTTATCGCTGTTTTTTGTGAAAATTAACACTTTATTTTAAAAAAGTCATAATAAACATGTCACTGAAAGTATTGTCCATTGCTAGCCACTACTTTCTCCCATCGTTCTGGCAGCATTTGAATTCCATGTCGCAAAAACGACACGTCTTTTGAGGCTATCCAAGAATCAACCCATTTTTTGGCATCTTCATAAGAATGGAAGTGCTGCTCAGCCAGGCCATGTGCCATCGATCGGAACAAGTGATAATCCGAAGGGGCAATGTCTGGTGAATACGGCGGGTGGCGTAGAACTTCCCATTTAAGCATTTCCAAGTACGTTTTCACCTGTTGTGCAACATGTGGCCAAGCATTGTCATGTTGCAAAATCACTTTGTTGTTTTACTGTTCATATAGCGGCCATTTTTCCTTCAATGCTTGGCTCAAACGCATCAATTGTAGTCGATAGCGATCTCCCATGATGGTTTTGTTTGGTTTGAGCAGCTCGTAATAAATTAGACATGGCTGATCCCACCAAATGCAGAGCAGAAGCTTCGAACCATGGATATTTGGTCTTGCTGACGATGCTGATGCATGGCCGGGTTTACCCCACGATTTTCTACGCTTAGGGTTATCGTAGTGTATCCATTTTTTGTCGCCTGTCATGATACAATGCAGAAAACCTTTCCTTTTCTGCCACAGAAGCAGCTGTTCACATGTGAAAAGACGCCATTCGACGATTATATGGTTTGCAAACTAAAAGTTTTTTTATTGGTTAAGATACAGTATTTTTTAGAATAACTAAATCATTAAAAATTTAAAATAATTTTATGTCAAAATAACTTTGTTATTAATCTACAATCACAAGATTATATGGCTTTGAAAAGGAAAGCTAAAACCACTATTATTCATTATAAAAAGACCCTGCATGGGTTTTGACACAGTATATTTGGCTAAAATTTTATTAATATGTTAGTTCTTGACTAACTGATCAAAGTCTTAACTGACATAAAGCTTGAAAACGGCTAGCATTTTTGCTAGAGCTATTTAAAATGATTTTTTTTTCCTTTTTGGGTAACTATCCAAATCAGTCACTTTGATTTTGACATTGAGAAAATTTAGATAGAACTACGTGATTTACTCAATATAATTTTATGAGCATGTGGGTGTTTGGGAGACAAGTTTATTACTACAGAGTTCAAAGTGTGTGCTTAAAACTGTTGGAGTAACACAACACACATTTTCGAATCCCCACATATACATAAATGTTTATTCAAAATATTTAAATTATAATCTCTACTCACTAAAATTAATTAGTAAAATTCAATTGTTAGATGCCAAGGTATATATTATATATAACTATATACATCATCTGTCTGTACATCTCTTATATGTATACATCCTGTATGTACTGTATACTATCCATTTATATATCTCCCCCCCCACACACACACACACACACACACACACACAAGTTCTTGTTTGCTAGTCATTTGAATATATGGGAGATAATATTGTATACGAGTAATCTCGTATACAATATTATCTCCCATATATTCAAATGACTAGCAAACAAGAACTATAAGATACTAAAATGTCAGCCAATTTCAGAGTCAATACCTATAAAAGTTCTGTGAGGTTACCTATAAAATAAAAGTAAATTTAAATCAGAAATTTATTTTTTTTTGTTACATATGTATAATTTTAATCATTTTGACTGATACAACTTAAATTACAATTATTTGTAATTTTTTTGCACTGGTTTTATTTTTACACTAGTTCACTAATACTTGCCCTTAAATTGATAACAAGAAAAGTAATGGTGAATATGTTCCTAGAAAAAAATTTAAAAAATTTTTTTACCTTTCTACCTTTATTAGACTATTCATCATTCAAAATTATGTGTTAATGCATTGTTTTTAAAACTGCAAATTGTTTTAAACTTTAAATATGCCAATTCATATTATATTATACTGAAGTCTTGGTTCAATTTCCTTTCATAGGAAGGCTTTGCAACACTCTGTTGCATTTTGTAATAATCCTTTACAATTAACATTGGTTTGAAAATCACTCAATTAGACCAGATTACAATTTATCAATTTTTTCTTTATTTTAATGTTTTGCTGATTAATGCAGAGGCTTACTTTTTTATGGACAGTTGTAGATAATTTTTAAAATTACATGACTAACTTTATATAAAACTTGTAAATATTACAAGTGAAAATTTTATAAACAAATGTTCATTGTTTAAAAATGTCAATTAAACATCATCCTGTATAGTGTTAAAAATAATTTGTCTCACAATGTTTTTTCACATTTACCAGATAAATAAACTTCTTATTATTTACAGTTATTTAATCAGTGTGTTTAAATTGTTTTTGTTTCTAAAGAATTATTCTAAATTGCAATGCAAATTGTGGAGAGTTGCAAAAAAGTGATGTGAAATACCTGGATTGCATCACCATAATCAGTCTGGGCAGAGCATCTCTAATGTCAGATGTCTTGCTTTAAACTTTTGGAAAATTTACAATTTCAAAAATATCTTTAATAAAGTTTTAATTAAAAACTTTCTTATAAATATTGAATAAAATCATTGCATACAAGTTTGCAAGAATTTATTTACTCACAAAACTTCCTTACTTTAATAACATCTTCAAGATCTTGTTTCATGTTCATTATGTTTATATGCTGTCCAAATCTCTCTTTGTATAATTTACTAAGTTTTTCCATTTTCAGTTTTCCCTCTGTAGTTTCCATCAAAAGTCTTCTAATTCTTAGAGAAACAAGATGAACAAAACCACGATCGACAAGAACTACTAATGGTTTTTCATTGAACTGTATCTGAAAATATAAAATAAATAGCTAGATGTAATGTATTGTAGTATAATTTTTTTGCTAAAAAGTTTATATTATAAAATGTATCAGGTTGTAAAGGTGAAATTTAGACATTTTGAAAAAACTTTATTGACAATTAATTCAACAATTGGTGATTACCTACCAGGCTGGACTGCATCAACATCAATCACATCTTACCACCTTTGCTGCAAACTTTCAATCCCATTAGCATAGAATGATTAGAATAGCATTCTTTTTGAAGAAAGTGTTGAGTGTCATTCTCATGTGGGTTATATCATTGAACCATATTCTAGGCAATATGGTTCTACAGGATGCAAAATGAATGGTAGTCAGTTGTCGCAAAGTCTGTGCCATAAAGACAGATAAGGCAGAATCTCCTAGCCAAGACTGGCCAGCTTCCCTAATTTCATCTTTGTTCTATGTGCTGTAGCATTGGTGTGGCAGTATCAAACATCAATTTTTGGAGTATATGGGAACACTTAAGTTATGCTTATTATCAGATGGTTAACTGTAAATCATCATCTATCAGTTGCAGGAGAATGTTGGTAGCAATTCCACCACTGATGACTCGATTGAGTTCATCTTGAAGTGAGAAATCTACATCCTTGAATTCTTGAACCAATTGTAGCAGGTCTACCTGTTGACTGTGTCCTCACCAAACATCTTGCAAATGAGATCTTGCTCCTTCGTTGAATTTTGGCCACATTTGAAGTGACAGAGCAACAGCATGTGAATGTGTTGTTTCGAATGTTTTACATTATCAGACATTGTTGATACATCTATTTGTGATGAAATGCCCCTAGTTATTCTACTTATATGAACATACTGTAAGTTCCAGAACATTTCTATTAGGTCGTCAAGGATGAAATTTGTAGGAAATAACATTGACAACTGTTGAGTCTGACCCATCTCAGTGCGCCTACAAATTATCATTGAAGTTTGGTGTTAGCAAAAACAATATTAACTCATTTAGTTCAAATTGGTGAAGTGAAAAAGTTGGATAAGTGGGTTCCACAAACTGAATGAAAAACAGAAACAAAAGGCATTTGGAAGCTTGCTTGATTTTGCTCTCTCATCACAAATCTGATCCATTTTTGAATTGAACTGTCACTTGTGATGAGAAATGGATCCAATGTGACAATCGCAAGCATTCAGCACAGTGGATGAATAAGGATGAATCACCAAAACACACTCCAAAGTGCAATATTTGTCAAAAGAAGCTGATGGTGAGTGTTTGGTGGTGTAGTGCAGGTGTGATCCATTATGATTTCATGAAACCTGGCTCATCGATCACAGCAGAAATATACTGCAATCAACTGGACGAAATGATGCAAAAACTTAAAGAAAAACAACCTAGATTGGTCAACAGATCGACTCCTATTTTATTGCACGATAACACTAGACCACAGACTGCACAAGTGACTGTGGCAAAATTACAGGAATTGGAGTTGGAACTTCATCATTATCCTCCATTACTCACCAGACCTAGCACCCACTGACTACCACTTCTTCCGTTTAATAGGAAAACAATTTAATTCCGACAATGCCATAAAACTGGCCTTCCAGGAATTCATTTGCTCTCGTCTGCCAGGGTTTTACACCACCAGCCTGAACAACCTACCACTTAAATGGCAAAAGTGTATAGACAATATGGGTGCATACTTTGAAGAATAAAATAATTCCTTATATTTGTAAGTTATCAACCAATTTTGCCTTTTTTCCCACAAATTTCATTCTTGATGACCTGATAGTTGTTTCTAGGAAAAAACTGAAATGTCTAAATTTCACCTTTATAACCTGATATTTTAAAAATGCAGAATTAGAATGAAAAATTTTTTTACATTTGTGTTACTAAGCTTACTTATAGCTTACTTAGCAGTAAGAAAACATACATCAAATCATCATCATTTATATGGAAGATTTAGTATTACAGAATTTAATGCCAAAACAATAATGAAAGAAAATGAGTAAAATTTAATATATAATAATGTAAAATAGAATACACACAAAACTTTTTACTAGTTTGTTTAAAAGAAAAACTGACTGCTGGTTTGCTTAGAAAATAAACGTAAAAATTTATTCATTCACTGATATACAACATCTCATATCAATAAAATATTTAATTCTTAATTTCTGTTCACTTACAAACTAATTATATTTTACATTTGAGTTCATCTTCTTTTTTTACTTTAGTTTTTTTAATTCTTAAATGTAAATATAATTTATTTCCAAACAAATTACTGGTTTTGAAACAAAGTACAGTAGACTGCTTATTGTCATCATTTTAGGACCCACCTAAACTTACCTCATAACATTATGCAAAGTAAATAAGCCTGTAATTAGAAGAATTGAAATACAGTGAGTGATCAGTTAATGAACAAATTGGACTGCGAACAAATCGGACAATGAACACTTTTGTGAAAGATTTTTATGTCTGGACAACAAACACAAGAAGAAGTGACATAAAATAGTGAATACTGATTGGTCTTTCTTTGTCTCTAGGTGACAATTCGAAACCTTTCGGAGCTCGGGAGACATCAACGTCAATGCTCAGCTCGATACTGATAGAACAGTATTCCTCCGAACTTTGAAACTCTCCCTTGTAATTCCAGCCTTTTGTTTACCTTTCACATTATAAAATTAGATTATAAAGATTCTTAAAAAATTCTTTGTCAGAAGACAAAGAATTTTTTTATAATCTTTGTGAGACTGTTGGGCAGGCACTCATTAAGTTTTGTGTTGGTTTTTATTTTCAAAAGATGAGAATTTAACTGTCCCATTGGATATTCGTTAACATTTTAATACCAAATTTCATCCAGGACTCACTTTTACTTTTTTTTTGTGCACTAGTTGATTTATCTTCTCTGAACTTTTGTAAGTGCTTTTCTGAACTTTTTATTTCAAAAAGAAAATGAAAATATTATGGATTCTAAAAAGAGTGGAGTTTCAAGAACTTTGCTCACCACAGAAACCCAGCAAGAGATAATAGCCAAGGTAGAAAGTGTGCAGATGATGTCTGATGTTGCTAGGCAGTATGGCTTGAACAGGTCTGCAGTAGGCACAATCTTAGCTAAGAAAAAAAATATAATCAAGAAGACTCAAGCAGGTAAAGGAGTAATGAAAATCACATCTGAGAAATAAAGAACATCGAAGAGCTCAGAATGGAACTTTAAACTGATCTGACAACAGAAGACCTCTTACAAAAAAAAAATTTGTTATCTATCACCTATGCAAATTTTATGAATTATTTTTGCCACCAAATTTTTTATAATGTTTTATTAATTAGTTAATTAATTCCACTATTGTAAGGTCTCTTTTTATGCGTATTATTTTTATGCGATTTTGAAGTTGTGCGGTTTGTATTTCATCCAAAAATTTCTTGGACAAACATACATATAGGCTTGTTTAGGAAGCCCGTGTATAGACAGTCTCCAAAAATTGTGGAACGCTCAAAGCTCACTCCATTNATAATAAAGTTGTGATTGTTGCAAGGAACATTATTTATCTAATAATTTTTTAATACTATTAGTTTGTGATACATAATATATTATTTTTTCTGCCATAATAACTAACTTTTTTCTGTACCCCTAAACAACCTATCGCGTACCCCTAGGGGTACGCGTACCACAGGTTGGGAATCGCTGTTCTAGATCAAAGTAAAAATTTCTGTAATGAATTACATAGTTTGTTTTATCAAAAATTGTGGGAATTAATTTTTTATTACTGTTAATGATTTTAAATTAAATTTATTTAGTACTGTGTTTTTATCATAAATCATACGGGATATTACTATGCTCAAAAACTGATGTTAAATCAAATCGTTCTAAACTTTTATAGGACAGATGTGATTTTTGTAAAATTTTAAAAAATACTATTGGTTGTTTTTTATGACATCAGCCGATATTTTTTGTTTTTTATTTACTAGAATTTTTTATATATTCTTTTTTTTTTCGTCCTCCTGTATTTTAACAGCATAAAGATTGGGAATTTTGTGTTATATTTGAATAGATGTGGTAAACTGGTTGCTTGCGTGCTTTAAACCAATCTTCCCCAGAGACGTGCAATAGGCCTACATGTAAATTTCCTGGAAAAAAAGTCAATCAGTTTGTAAACAATGTAGAATGCACACTGAATTTTCGCACTGTGTCAAATCAAAGAATAGCAATCCTTGCAGCTATATTTTTCAAATAAAAGCATTTAAAAAATGCTTTTAATTTTTTATGTAGTAGTTCTATAAAAACACATTTTTGGGGGTATTTATTTTGCAGCAGTTACTTCCTGGCAATATTTATGACTATCAGATTTGCTTTTAAATGGAAATAATGATCTCATTTTAAAAAATCAACAGATTAGGGACTTTCTGAGCAGAATTCCAGCCAGAAAAAAATCTGAGGGGTAATAAGTTATTCATTTTTCCTGATTCATGTAGAGTTCTACATTCCAAGTAAGGATCCTTAAGAGTGTATGCCTGCTTTTCAGAGAAAGTGCATCAGACATCTCTGCTTGGAATTTGTGATCACTTTATTTTCTACAATACTAGTCTTTGTCCTACAATTCTTATTTTGTGACCCTTTTTCTTATAGTTTATGAAGAGATAATGGTTGCAGCACGCTTTCTGTATCTTTAATTAGCTTTCAAACATGTATAAAACATGATTAATTAAAGATGCAAACAGTCATATGCTGAGGTCCTATCTCCCATGGGATACACCTGATAGCAGTCCAGTTTCCATATAATTACCCATGATTACAATAAGCAACATATACTATATATATAAATTTTTTTTTAAAAAATAGAAATAAGTAAAAATACTGTATAAAGAAAAAAACATTTTAATAAACTGAAGGATTTTATTTCAGAAAAATTCAATTTAAACAAAAGGTTATTTAACTTCTAGTTTCTTCATTAGTTAACTAACTACTGAAGAACAGAATTAACTATAACTATATAATTAAATAACTAAATAATTAATAAAATATATAAATGAAACACTTTAATTTTATTTAATGTTGAATCATTTTGCTTATGGTACTCAGACTTAATTCTTAAATTTAATTCTTCTCAAACAAAGTTTTCATGTGTACAACAAATAATTGAGAAATTTGTATAAAATAACATTTAATATCTTTTATAGTTTGCTGCTTCCACAAAATATAAAAATGATCAAAAAACTTTTATATATACAAGGTGTTTTCAACCACTTGTATTACATTTTTCTTAAAATTCAATCATCATACAAGATAGTCTATATAAATTGTTTTTGATGTTAATGCCAGATATCAGTAATTAGAAAAACAAATATTTTTAATATACTAATATGTTTCTGTGCATTCATTCTTAAAAATTAAAGTATATGCATTGTAAAGATGCCATGAAAATTCAAATCAGAAACTTACCATTATACTTTAGAAATTTATATGTTAAAATTGCTTAATAGAAAGTTAGAAGTGCTTCTTTCGCAAATTACAAACCTTTAAGGAGCTTCTCAATTTAGATATAAGATCGGGTATATCTGAAGCACCAAATTCTTGACAGCGCAATGAGTAACCATGTTGATTAGCATATATGCTAATTAGCTTATCTAACAAGATACATTGCTGAGGCGATGATCGCACAATAGATACTAGTCTGTCAGCTAATACCTTTAGTTTTTCTTGTTCTGTAAGCATAAGGACTTTTTCTTCACCAATTCCGCAAACCTGACAAGAAAAAGTAAAATTTTTTCAAATAAACATAGAAAGTAAGTATACTTAAAATGAAACTTAAAAATCACAAAAAAAGCTACAGTTCTATTACAATAGCAAACTTTAAAACTTATTATTTTTTATTATTATAAAAGTAATAACTGCTTATTTTTTGAATAATTCTATAAAAGTTGAAAGTAGAAAAAGACTATCTTCTTATATACTGAATAATACCATGTTGTGTGTCTTCACTAACCAAACTGTTATTTTCAATTCAATTCTTTATTGTATGAACCTTAGTTCATTACAAGGGGGTTAAATTATAATATAAAAACTGTAGTACAATATAACAAATTAATGAAATAGCTTAGTACAGGATAACAGAAAATAATACACACAACAATAATCATTTTTTTAAAATGCAATAAATTTATTATATCTTACCAGGATTTAAATGTTGTGAAATACTTTTTCCTACTTGTTTCAAATTTGATACATACAGTAAAAGAATACACGTTCCCACCCAAATTTCTTACATTTGCATACTACAGTTACTGAAAATTCTCTAAGGGTCTATTATTAGATTACTGTTATAGGTCAAAATATAATTTTGATCACATCTCAGCTACAGAATTAATCATTTTACATGATAAATTATGTCCATAAATAAAATAATCCTCACACACAAGTTGTTTTAAAAACACATTATTTAAAAACATATTATTGTTTTAAAAACACATTTGTTCTTTTTTTCAACAAAGACCAGTCTTCTTGTACGCTTTGTTCACAACACACTTAATATTTGATAACTTTCAATCAAGTGAGGATTTTGAGATAACCAGAGAAATGAGAAACCTTGTCAATTTAACAGATTTTTCAATGCCAATGTTATGTTGACACAATTTATACAGTTTGTTATATGCTACTTTAATGTAACTTTTATCATTAATTTTAACAGTCTGATCCAAAAAGAAACTATTGCTTTTACTATTAATACTGATATTCTAGAAACACCAAACTCCAAACACAACATATTCTGAAATTTTTATGTTATACCATAAATATTTTCCAAAGATATAAAGCAACAACAATTTCCATTTTATCATAATATGTAATTGCCCATACAGGAGCAGCAAGAAATAATACAGTCAAAATCATTGAGTGAAATACATAAACTGTTTCTTTTTCAACCTCCGATGGTCCATACAACAAAGATAAGTGTAAATAACAAAATGAATTTGTTACCAAAAGTTAGGTACAGACATGGTTACTTTTTGACAAGTACTGTAAGGATTGAGGCATTTGTCTATCTGTGGACAAACTTTGAAATCCCCTCTTCATATAATGTTGTCATCTGTGACTTTAGATGAACCGTAACATTGTTTTGAAGATTGTCATTAGTCTCAAACCTCAGCCCTACTAGCTACTTTTTTCTGTTCAGGAAAGAGGTGGAAGTCTCTCGACACTAAATCGGTGCTATACAATGGGTGTTTAAAGGTGGCGAAGACTTCTATCCAGCTTGAAACTTTTTAATGTGTGAAGACATCCACCTCAATGCCTATGTCAAAAGTAACCATGTTTGTAACTTATGGTAATAAATTCATTTTGTTATTTACACTTGTCTTTGTTTTATGGACCATGGGAGGTTAAAAAAAACTCTTGTAGTTTTAAATATGAGAATTAATTTTAGCTCTTCAATCAATAGGCCACATAGAACCCAGTGCCTTCTTGTTGAAGTTGCAGACCTATCTCCTGCTTCACTCCAAATCTCTAAGTGCCTTTGATGCCTGCCTATCTCCATCCATCCAGTTGCAACTTTCATGCATCGGTCCTGGGGTTATGATTTTTGTTTAGTTTGACTAGTCAAAAATGGCATACACAAAAAAATTACGTTATCATACTAGGACTTTATGACAGCGACGGAAAAGGGACAGTAATCTTAATCATTGTATTTATATCATGTAGCTCTTAAGAGTTACAGAATGTAGAACTCAATATTTGAATTATTTTCAAAGAATTATTTCTGATTTTGCTTATGACCCTAAAACATTTTGGCATACAGTAGGGGATTCCAAGATCCCCTACTGTATGCCAAAATGTATGCCATCTTGGAATCCCGGTTGTTTTTTAATCTGGGAAATTCTTCTCATCCCGGGAAATCCTGCAAATTTCTTAAACGTTCACTTTTTTCTTATTTTGTGTTAAGGTTGAGGAAATTTTGCAAATAGAAAGTATAATTAACTCAAACTGTCAGAATACATTTGTATTTATTAATTTTAAACCTACTTATTAGTTTTTTTTTAATTTTTCCTCATTATGGCATGTCACAAATGGTCAATAATCAGTATGTAGCTTATTTGTGGCAGGACTCTGAAAATTTTTTACTTGTCGGAACCTGTAATATCTGGAACAATTGTGTCTATGCTGTCTTAATTTTTAACCATGCCTAGTAGCTTTGATAACTGCGCAATGCCAGGTTGTGCAAATTGGGCAAGGCTACAAACGAGTATGAAGTCTGCAAGTATGAAGTTTTTCTTCGTAAACCTGATTATTAAAGCCAAACAAATTGCTGAATTATCAAGCTTATAGCAGTATCAAGCTATAAGCTTGATACTGCTATTAAAGCAGCCAAGGTAGACAAATCAAGAATACTAGAGAGCAAAAGAAGTACTACAATCTCAAAATCTTCCAGGCTACAAGTGAAAAAAAAACATATAACATCTCTCTTTTCTTAAATGCATTAAAGACAATTCCACTAACATCAATTAAATCAGAAAGAGATTGACTAATCGGAGTATTGACCATCTTTGCTTTTTAAAATCTTATAAAAATTTATAATAATATTTTGTATTATGTTTTATTTAAAAAATGAAAATTACCTTCTATGTTAGAAGTTTAATCTAAGTTCATTTTTTTAAATTTTCAACTCAATTCAAAGCATTTTTGTTGTTGTATGCAGTTTCTTGCAAACTTTAATAACTTTTTTCTATTTGTGAAAATTTCTACATAATTCAAAGGGAATTTTCAATATATATCTTACACAGCATTATTAATATGATTTTGGAGGTTGTAGAACATATTAAATTACTTTAAAAAATGAAAAATAATTATATCATTTGATGTCAAGATGTTTTGTATATCTTAGAAATAATTAATTCTATCTCGGGATTTCCCAGGATCCCTGGAAACAGTTCACTTTTATCCCGGAATCCCGGGACAAGCAAAAGACTGGAAAATTAGAAACCCTAGCATACAGTTCCTAGATTCTCTAAATCAAAGATATTATAGATGATAGCAATATTATAGATAGTGATCATGTATACAGTGTTAAAGTAATGTGATTTAATGTTACTATAAACTTATTTCCAGTAGTTCATTATAAAACAGAGGTTGCAGCCGACGTTTTCATCGCAAAAACGTTTATGTCAGACATTCAGCGCCACCTTCCTGTAAGCCTAGAAGTTTGACAATGACATTTGGAATGTCAGTAGAATCATGATCAATGTTCCAAACATTATTGTCAATCTTTTGGGCTTACAGGAAGGCAGTGCTGAACGTCCGACGTACACGTTTTTGTAATGAAAATGTCGACTGCAACCTCTCTATTATGAGTGGAGAATACTGGTGCATGCCATTTGTCATATATTTCTAATCACATATTTACTTTCTCTGCTCTTATAGAAGCCATAAATTCTCTTGTTACTTTCACTTATAGCCCTTACCAAATTCCTTTATTTTTTGTATAAAAGACATGCTCCTTTGATGGTCTCTATATTTCTTTCTCTGTTTCCCAAAATATTGGACTCTGGTTACATTCCTACCCAATGGTCCTGTTCCATGATTTCTGTCTTCCCAAAAAAGAAATTGATTCCTATTGTCCTGATTATATTAGCTTCAACAATGTTAAAATTATTTGAAATCTGTTTGTACAAAATTATGTATTTTCCAATAACTTCCCATTTATGTCCTGTTCAACATTTAAATTTAGACCACCATTCCATAACAAGTAACCTTGAAACTCAGCATTTCATTTTATCAAACTTTGACCTAAAACTTCCAACTTGTGTAATATATATATTCACATCACAAAAGCTTTTTATTCTGTTGTTACAAACAATCTATTGGATAAATTATCTTCAGAATTTGAAATTGATAATAAAATAACCTGTATTAATAATTAATTTTTTTTTCTTTTAAACATCGCTCTTGTCAAATAAAAATTTCCAATTTTTACTTTATATATTTAACCAATTGATCAACATTCTACAGAGATCTGTACTTAGTAACTTATTGTTTATAGCCTACATTAATAGTCTTTCTTGAATTTCCTCCTGTTTTGTAAATGTTTATGCTAACAATATAAAACTTGCTATCACTTGTCACAACTTATTGTAAAGTAATATTAATGAACTTAATGCCTCATTTAAAAAACTTAATTTACAAATTAATACTAGTAAAACCAAAATGATTTATAGTCTGGCTCACTGTTACAGAACTTTTTATATTGATAACCACATTTTAGATGTAGTTGATTCTGTTTAGGACCTTGGCACTGTCTTTTATTCAAAGCTTTCTTTTATTTTAAATATCATATCGAAAAAATAACTTAAAAAATCTCAATCCATAGGGATATATGTTGTGGAGAAAATTCAGAGTAATTTCAAGTAAAAGTACACTTTGGGTTTTATTTTTTACTAATGTACTAATCTTAATAGATTTTGCTTTTGCCCATAATGGGCATCAGTCCCTGCTTCTACTCTGCATAAATCTCAATAATAGTTGGCTAAAATCTACCTCCTTTTAAATAAGCTTGCAAACCTCCTCTACCAAGGTTGCTTGTGTGCACTTTGGTTCTCCTTGCTTTTTAAATGAATTGATTATTTTGACAGAATATTTTCTTATATTTTAATGGTCTCCTCCCTTCTAAATTTTTTTCTTTTACGGGTTCCTTCTTTTAACTCTAGAGATTCTACCTGTTTATATTCTTTGCTTGCCCACCTTAACATTACAGTTAAATCGTTTTTCTACAGGTATCAAAAGACTGCTGTAGCTATTGAAGAGCTATTTTTTTTTAATTTTTTTAAAATTTAAATCCAGTTATAAAAAACTTTTTTACAGCCATTTCCCACATTAAAATTTACTTTTATTACTTTTATTTTTTATCATGTATATGTTTTTTTTAATTAATTGTATTTTTAGTCTTATTTTTAACTTTTTAGGTTTATTCTTTGTTTCTTATTGGGAGGGTCAGCCATCATTGTTGTTAATATATTGCTGTAACTTATTGTCACAGTAATTAAGAGTGTATATATATATATGTACAGCAAACAAATAAACAAAACATCCTCATTTATATATATATAATTTTGTCAGTAATAATTTAACAAGTAAAAAGTTAGAGTTGAAGTATTTGCATCTCCAGATGCTATTTGGACAATTTATCTTATAATAGATAAGAAAATGTATTTATCTTATTGTAGTAATAAGTAAGTAAATTTATTTATTACTACATCCATTTAAAAAAATTAGAAAGAATTAAAATTATTCAAAGTAAGTTTATCCAAACCATTCATTACATCAAATTTGACACTTACAGTATATCACTTCCATACCAACTGATCTGTCCCACCATCGCCATAGAGACTTACTTTTCTTACGTATGTGGACAGAGTTGATAAGGATTTAGTTAATGAGATTATAGAAATTACAAATTACTATACTGTAACATTAGAACAACAATATAATATAGTGTAAGTATATCAACTATGCACAACACATTGAGATTTATAAATACCTCTAAAACATCAGGAATTGCTTCAAAGAGTTCTATTAATTTTGAAAAGCCATAATCAGATACCCGACATTGCTTGCCAAAATGGTGGTGATAGGCAGGAATGAATTTACTAAATGGCATAGAGCAATTTGGAACGTGCCTAAATAGCTCTATGACTTCGGCTGCAAATTGTTTTGTTCTTTCTATTTCTTCTGGAGTTTGTTCTGAAATAAAACACTATTTTAAAAATTACATTTTGGAACTTCTAATTAATATTGGAATACAATAACAACATTGTAACTTATATATCCATTACTAAAGACACACAAAATACATTATATACTTTTCCAGCAACTTAAACTTTAATATAACTAATTCTTTCTGTTTGATTAATAAGTATCAGGTTTTTGAACGTAGAGTGTTTAGAACAATATTTAAAATCACATTATTTTAGAACAATATTGCATTACGTAGCCAAAAGCATTGAAGTTTAAGTTGCTGGAAAAGTACATAAGGTATTTTATGTGTCTCTAGTTACTGTCTAGTTCAAGCTTATACCAATATCAATATATATCCATAAACAAAATAAATCTAAGTTCTTCAATCACACATGAAATTATATTTAGAATAGAAGTATATGCTGATAATCAGAGCTATCAACAGGGAAGCAGGATATTTTTCCTTGGGTCTGAGAAAAAACTTAGTGATCTGTAGTGGTTTCAATCTCCTATAAATTTAGTTAATTATTTCTACTATTAAGTTGTTTGCATGACATTTGACATACACCACACATGCAAACTCCTTCATTGATAGAACATGAGCAACTGAAAAAAAGAAATGGGTCATTCCATGGAAAGTGATCAAGATCTGCTCAACCCTCTCAGATTTCAATAGTATTTGGCACAAAGGTAGCTAACAACCTTAAACTAAGCCATGCATTAAAATAAGTGTGACTGGATTTGCGTGGCTATCAGATTTGGCCCTTTGGCAATGGGGCTGTCAGTTCAAAGAGCTGGTAGTGGCTTTGCACATGAACCAGTGCAAGTACAGTACTTGATAGCCTTTTGGTATAGTTTTAACAACTATAGGATTGATTCTAGTCACAAATTCTACATGTGTCCCTTTAGCATGGAAATACAAGCATTCAAAATAGAAGCTCTTGAAGAATAAGCATTGTGTTTCTATTAGGCTAAAATGAAACAAAACATGGTTATTCTAAAAATCAAACTATTTTGGAAATGAATCAAAATCCTTGAAAAGTTTTTGCTTAATATTGAATGAGCATAGCTCAGCAAGCATGCACATTCAAGACCTTTTAATTGAATTACATAATGACAACCAAATTAATTAATAATTAGCAGACTAAGTTGCATTCCATTGTCTTGTATAGTTCTAAAGATATTAGTTATCAAAGTGTGGCTTTTGTTTTCACAATCAAGATTTTATTCGGATATCACTATGTTTAATGCCACATTTCTGTCCTTAGCAGAGCCAAGTAAAAAATTACTATCATATATTTCAATAGAAGGAAAGATGCTCTTTCTAATGCAGCAAAATCAAAATTTTCAGATACCTCACATGACACTCTTTGCTTCTGAATGTTGGTAAAAATTGAGTCTCAAGTTATTTTTTTTTTGCATTTTTTAGTGGGCATATTTTTAAAACTAACAACTATATACTTGAAATTTTACATAAATAATTACATTATATACAGTTTTAAAATCCAAAGTTTTGCTGTAAAAGAATGTTTTCTTCCTTAGTTACAGGCAACTGAAATGTGGCTTAAATTCCACAAGAATAAATTTTATTCGAACTTTGAAAATTTATGAGTACATTTTGTTAAAAGCTTCTGTTAGCATAGCTGAACTGTCCAGTTGAAACTGTCTTATCCCATCAAGTTTCATGCTGTAATTGCTCTTAGTCAAGGAACCATTGGATAATAAACTTGATTGTTTAATCACTGTACACACACAGGTGCCTTTATATTTTGGCTTATATCTCAGAAACCATGCAACTTATGAGGCTAATATTTTGCATGGCTTAGTTTAAGGTCCTTAGCTACCTTTATGCTAAATTTCATTGAAATCTGAGATGGTCAAGCTTGAGACCTTAATCACTTTACATGGAATGACCTAAATAAAATTGTTTAAAACTGTTTTGTTAATAAAGAAACATTCTATATATTTCTATTAAAAAAATTTAGAAATGATACGAAAGGACCCACTAGATCTCTCAAGCACATACAATCCTGCTGAATCATTAATAAATGTGATAGAGATGATTACAATGTTATTAGGTTGTTTGGAAAGTAATTTTGTCTTTTTGTGGAAAAAAATTTTCTTATAATGTATAAATATTTTATTGAATTACATATTGACCATTTTAGTCCAATACCTTTTCCCATCTTTCTAGTAGTAGCATGATTCCACACTCATAAAATTTCAGATCTTTTCTTACAAAAAACTGATCCAAGTGATTTTTTACATCATTTGAAGTAAATGTTTTACCATTTAAAAAATTTTGTAAAGACTGGAACAAGTAATAATTTGATGGTGCCAGACCTGGCAAATATGGTGGGTGTGGTAGCACATCCCATCCAAGCTGCAACAGCTTCTGATGAGTTATAAAACGTAAGCAAGGTCTGGAATTATCGAGGTGAAACAACACCTCTGTTGATCAATTCTGGCCTTTTCTGTTCAATGGTATCACTCAATTTGTCCAGTTAATGGCAGTACACTTTCGAATCAATTGTGGAACTGTCTGATAGAAACTCAAAAAAAATTTCCTTAAATTCCCACCAAACAGAGCACCATTTTTTTTTTATGAACATTACCTTTCGAAATGCTTTGAGCAGGCTAATCTCTTCTATTTCGTAATCACTTGTGTTCAACATTGTTATAAATAATTCATTTTTCGTCACCAGTTATGATTCGCTTCAAAAATGATAGTTTTCTTGACATTTGAGAAGCAAATCACAGATGTCAATATGACAGAGCAAATCTCTTTAAGAACATGTGAAACTCATATGTCAAGCTTTGAAACAAAACTAAGTCATTTCAAGTGATCATAAACAGTTGAATTTGGCAAATTTAATCTTTTAGTAATTTGTCAGGTTGTTACTTGGCAGTTTTCTTCAACCAATACCTTTATTTCGTCTTCATCAGCTTCCACTGGCCTTCCAGAACGTGGTACATCTTTCAATATCAAAATTGTCGAAACAAAATTTTGCAAACCAGTTTTGGCACCGTTGTTCTGTCAACACATCTTTTCCATATATGTCACACAATTTTTTCTTGCTTGAACAGCATTCTTACCTTTTCAGTAATGAAAAAGCAAAATATATCAAAAAGGCTGATTTTCCATATTTGATGGGATCAAAAAAAAACAATTGCACAGAATCTAACAAAAGTTTTTACAAATAAGTCTTGAAATGTCAGCTATTAAAATATATAGTGACAATATGATTTAGAATGAAGTAATCCTCTGATGATAAAAAAACGAAATTAATTACTTTCCAAGCAGTCCAATATTATGAGAGAAAGCATAATAATTCATGTACAGTACATAAAATTTGGAAATATTTAGAAAAAAAAAAAAAAAGGTTTAGGGAAAGGATTCAAATTGAAACTGAACTTGCTTGGTTTGTAAAATCATGGGTTGTGTTATGATCTTATTTCATGAAATTTTTTTCATTCTTTAATATTTCTAAATTATATTTAATCATTCAGATAACTCTGTACAGCAAACATTAATTGAGTCTAGAATTTGATAAATTTGGCAATGATGATTTATTTATATTTGGCTCAATGCAATCAACACATTTTGTTCTCATTATATAAATTACAATTACTAATATTTTATTCATAAAGTTAGTCAAGAACTGAAAAATCAGGACAACTATAAAAAATAACCTTTATATTTTTGTAAAATGTTTGTTTACTCTTTCAGATTATTATGAACATTATAAATTAAATTTTGCATATGACAAGCAAGATAAAATCCCATTTATATTTCAATATAAAGTGTTTATTATTAACAAAATGCAGACACAATTTGTTCTTACCAACATTACAATAACTATTAAGTTAAATGATTCTCTCATTTTTAAATTTAAATACTAAAATACACATCTAAACAAAGGTCAAAAACATCCTTACACTACCTACTATTCTCCTTATACATAAAAAAAAATATTACCTCTCTTTGGAATGCCTATGATTGTTTCTTCTTCAGAAGATGCTACCTAAATGAAATAATTAAACACATCTCAATATCACACGAATACATTTTAAAAATATTACATTACATCATTTACAAATTGAAAATTACTACAATTATTTTTATTATTCTATAGAATGAATTTGCTGAAGAGAAACTTTAAATATGATCTTCCAACATAATTTTAATTTGAATTATTAAACAAACTATTAAGTTATAAAAGACTATATGATTAAGACAGTTAATGGTGAAGACAGAATAAGGAAATGGGAAAGTATACGAAAGTTACATAAGTTTTCATTTCTAAAAAATACTTTCAAAAATATGATAAATGTAAATAAATTATAAAATATTCAAAATAAAGTAGCAGATAGAATAATGGGAACAATTTTTTTTATTGTATCTTAAATGTTGTTGATTACATTCTTTAAAATTATTCAGATTTGAAAGAGAGAAACTTATTATTTTTTTCCATAATTAAAATAATTGATGTTTCTGCAATAAGACAATTCTTATTCAAGATTAAATAAATGTTACCAGTATCAATATTTGAAGAAGGAAAAAAGTTACAATGTTCAATACTCCTACATTCATTCTTTGAACATATTTAATCAACGACGATAACTACAGTTATTGAAAATGTTTGTCTCTGTTTTTTCCTTTTTTGGAGTTTTTGGTTTTTTCCATTTTTTATTCTATATTTATATCCCATTTCTATATTGTTTATATGTTAATCTTGGAACGGAATAGACACAATGGCCCTTGAGAATGACAATTGTATGCCATTAAAATAAATAAATAATAATTTAGAGAAAATATTTATGCCAGAAAATATATAAATTTTTTTTTCTTATTCAGACATTAACTTTTTCAAAAAATAGTTTACTATATTTAACATTTAACTTACTAGCACAATTCCCCCCCATTGAATTACAAGTCAGTATTCTAATTTACGGAAATTTTTATTTTATTCATAAAACACAAAGTCGACATTGGATTAATGATGAACGTGCCTTTATATTTTGGC